TGACACTTCAAGGAGACATGATGCAAAAGAAATTTTTGAAGGGTTCATAAAAACGCTGGCACGGGTCAGTCGGTCTCTCCGTATCCGCTGTTGAACGGGCGCGAAGACGACGCGGATCCAAAGAGCGCCCCGTCGTCGACATGCGGCTCGTCCTCACTCCACGGTTTCGCTTGCACTCTCCCGGCGGTTCCGCGGACCCCGTCGGCAACGCCCGCCGCCGCCGCCGCGACGAACGGCGCCGCGGTGTCAGCGTCCTTGAGCGCGGCGTGGAGCAGGACGTATCCGTTCAGTGCGACAATCGACATGAGCGCCTGCTCGACAAAGACGCCGGCGATAAAGTCCGAGTCGAAGAAGTAGGCGACGCTGAGGACGACGTAGGCGAAGAAGAGGAGGACCTCGTAGCAGAGGTTGATCCAGTGGTTGTAGTATTTTTTCACGCTGGAGGGGGTCGATGGAGAAGGGTGTTGCATACGGGGTGGTGGTGATTGTTGGTGGATCTGCAGCCGTTGAGGTTCGGTTTTCGTTAAAGACGACGGGGGTGAGGATTACGGCGATGTCGCGGGAGGAGCTGGTGCGGGGAGAAGTGGGGGGTGCGCTGTTGCTGGGTCGACCGGCCTCGTAGAGCTTCGTGCTGAGCGAGATGAGCGCGGTTTCAGTGTCAAGTAGGAGGTTCCGATGAAGGTGACGATTCTGTACAAGGCAAAAGACCCGCTCTGGCGGATAGCTTTGCCGTCCCAGCGGTTGTCAAAGGACGCGAACGCCTGGAAGCCCACGGCGAGAAAGGAGACGACTGTGTACCCAAGGGTCGAGAGGAGGGCGGGCATGTTGCCTGTGATTCGCTGGAGCGTGGTTCTCTGTCTCGATCCGCTCCGGTTACGGCTGATAGAAGAGCGCTTTGGGCGGAATCGGCCGGTGACGACTTGCATGCGGAGGAAGGAGATGTGGACGGCGATGATGCTGTGCAGCCGCTTGACAACGTTGAACAGTAGCATCCACTTTGGAAAACCTGACCATCTGCGGGGGGAAAAAAAGTAAGGCAGCGTCCCTTGAGAATGAAACAATGGCACAGGTCGGGTATCGCTTACGCGTTATCCAAGGTGGAGTGCACGCAAGTGTACAGGATGAGCAGATCGGCAAAGATGCTGACGCACGTGCCGACGACGATGGCCTTCTGCGCCACGGAGATCAGCGGCCTCCTCCGGCGGTCTTTCGATGCAGTTGCGGCTGTTTCCGACGCGGCGAGTGCCCGGCGGCGCTTGGTCTCGTCCAGGATGCAGGCGACGAGGTTGAGCATGCAGATGTCGGCGTTGATGGCGGGAGCAAAGACGAGGAGGCCGGTCATGCGCGAGAGCAGGTACGCCGCGGATGGCTGCTCCATGCTGGTCGAGATCCTCCAAAGAAATCGTGCGGGAGCTCTTTCTCAATCCTCAAGATGCGGTTCGCGCCAGAAGCGTTCGCGGCTCGTACTGGCTTGCCCTTCGGTCCTGCGGCAGCGAGGGTGTGCGGGTAGCACCGGCCGGGGGGACGGGGTCTGGTGGCTCAAAAACTACGTTTGGGCCTGAAAAGGGAAATCTCTTTGCCTGCGTTGGGTGCATGGGCGTGCTGACGGCATCGCGGCGATTGAGTGAGTGGTCAGCTCACACCACCAATCGCAAGACCACCAAATCCAAAGCGCACTAGATCACCGTTACTCACTTCACCGGCCTGGCTGGGATCGTCGACACTGTGTTGCCGCGGGGCTCCTTTTTCCCGCACTCGGCCGCCTGCCCAAGCACACGGGCTGTCTTGCTCGCTCTCGACGCTTTGATTTTCAAAATCATCTCCTTGCAGCGACGCTGACAACCGCTTGGCGTGAATCTTTGCTCTCCAAGATTATTGCTCCTGGCTAAAATGCCTCCGGGGTTAATAACGGGCCGCACTTACGGCAAGGGACAACTCTGCCTTGTTGCAGCACGCGTTGATTGCTTCTCTGGTTGCTTCTCTGATATTCTCAAAGGTCATGGACTGTTGCCTTACCCACTGTTTAACGTTCTCAAATGCCCCAAGATTCGTGTGAGCTTCCTAACATGATTGCAATTAATGGCGGAAAAGGACAAAAGAAAGCTTCTCCTTTCGAGGATCGTATCAGCCTGGAACAATTTTCGTAGTATCAGAAGGATAGCGTCGCCTACCGCGCACGCGCCCACGGCAGGAGCGTCGTGCTTCAGCGCAAGCGCTTAGTGGCGCAGTTTCTCTCACACGCAAACGAAAGCAAGCCCGACAAGAGACAACCCGACTTGGCCGGACGGCGATGGCGCACCCGCGGCTGGTAAGACGTTGTCTGACGATCTGCCCCACTAACAGCTCCCCCTGTCTCCGATCTTTCGACTGTTCAGGCTGACGACGCGTTTGACGCAATGGAGTTCCACGAGAGCTTGCTACGAGGACTGATTGACTCTGAGTGGGTGGGCGGGCGACCGCTCTCCTTTGCTCAGGCACCAGTCCCGACGGCTTACTAACCGCACTATTCTCCGTTGCCCAGCTTCAAACATCCAACCTTGCTCCAGCGGCGAGCGATTCCCGCCGCTACCAGCCAACGCCGCAACTTGATCATCATGGCCCAGTCCAGCGAGGGCAAAACCACCATGCTCGCGATCGCCGCGCTCCAAAAGATCCGCCCCGCTCTGAAACAACCGCAGGCAATCGTACTCGTCCCAACTCCCGAGCACGCCCTGGCCTTCAAAAGCATCGTAGCCAGCATTGGCAAGAGAACCCGCGTCTCCTGCCACGCCTGCCTCGGCGACCTTCGCCACGACGTCCCGGTCGCCGCCGCCGGCCCACACCTCGTCGTCGGCACTCCGGCCCCGGTCCTCACCCTCATCAAAAGCGGCCGCCTCCCCACGTCCGCGATCGCAACGCTCGCCCTCGACGACGCAGACCGGACCGCCCTGCGCGGGCTCGCGGATCCCGTCCACGAAATCTTCCTCCGCCTCCCGCGGCACACCACCGTGCTCCTCACCTCATCTTCCCTCCCCGCCGACCTCCAACTCCTCGCCACACGCACCGCGCACAATTCCATCCACGTCCAATCCGACCACGAACTCACCCTTGCGAGAAACAAGCAGTTCTACGTCGACGTCGTACGGCCGGAATGGAAGCTCGACACGCTCCTGGAAGTTTTCGACCTAGTCCACGCGGCCTCAGCGATCACCTACTGCAACGACCCGGCCACCGCGTCGCACGTCGCCGCTCACCTCCAGCAAAAGGGCTTCCCCTCCGCCGCAATCATCCTCGACGACCTCTCCCCGCTCGCCCGCGCCAGCGCCCTGCGCGACTGCCGCTCCGGCGTCCTGCGCTTCCCCGTCGTCTGCGAGAACGTCGGCGGGCCTCTGTTCGTCGACTTCGACTTCGGATTCGTGGATTTCTTCGTGCAGTACGACTTTCCGCACGACCCCAAGACGTACCTCCGGCGGGTCGGGAGGCGCGCCGAGTTTGGGAGGAGGGTCGCGGCGGTCAGTTTTGTGGCGGGTGAGGAGGATATGCGGACTTTGAGGGAAGTGGAGACGATGTATGGTACCGAGGTACGGAGTAATCCACTGTCTGCGCGAGGCTAACCTTTTTTTTTTTTTTTTTTTTTGTTCTATTTTTTTGTGGTGTCGCTAATTCCAACCAGATTCTCGAGGCGCCGATGAACCTTAGAGATTTGATCTAGAGTAGCCAGACTTAGAGTGACTCCTGCAATTCCAATGTAACTACTTTGTGGTGGGAGCTATGAGTATTTGTCACGCACATGAGCGTCTCCCCTGCATTCTGGCCTTCGGCCGGTACTAGAAGAAGGAACGAGAAGCAGAGCGGGTGCAGCAGTGGCTCTTGTCGTCAGACAAGAGAGAGAGAAGAACAAGGGGTAGACCAAAATGAAGGGGCGGTGGCGACAGTGGGCCTCAGCCAAGAACAGCGAAGGGCTGCTCGGGGCAAATGCCTGGCGCCGCCCAGCATCCGAAACGTGTCCGTTTGAAGCGAGCTGCAAAAGAAACACTCCTGAGATAAGAATGAAGCAAAAAACTTGGAAAATATAGATAATCTGGATCGACAAGGAAGAACGGGAGTCGAGGTCGCTCCAGAACTTCAACAGCTGCTCAACACGGTCCCCCAGGGAAGCCACCACGCTAAAGTGGGCTGGCCAGGGCTCATATTCAGTGCCGAAGAGAATGTCTCGCCCTTGCCACATCGTCAGTGCAACGAGGACGAAATGTGTAGTTAGAATGGAGACGCGGTGGCGATCAACTTCTGTTTCAATATGTTGACTTCTGCGAGAAGCTCGGTCCACTTGCTTAAAACGAGAAGTTCAAAACTATTAGCCCATTTCCGATTTTCATATTTGGTTTTTAAAGCAACTTCAGAGACATTGCTCAAAGTTTGGACTGTTGCGAATGAAATTTGTGAGCTAGACGCGGGCTCTGTCTGATCATAAGTGCTTTGAATCAATGAGCTATAACCCTTTGCACGTTCGCAAACACCAGAAATATGGCTTGCTCTTGTTCAGTTTCAATCGGAACCGTTTGAAATTTTGGAGGCACTTGCCCCTGCTTGGAATCCACAGCCACACTTCATAAAGAAAAAGAGAATATTTTTGACTACAGTGTAAAGACTGGGCTGTTGAAGAGTGGGCAAAAGTTATTTGGACGGATCAGGCAACCTTTGAATCAGGATGCATTTTGCTCAACGACGGCCAGCTCAACTCAAACAATTGTAAACATTCTCGAAGCGTAGTTTGGCGGTTTTCTGAACTACATGGTTGGGGAAATGGACAGTCCCAAAGATGTGACTCACCAGTGCAGAAGGTAGTGAAAGTGGGACAATGGATGCGGAAGTGTGTGCAAGAGCAAGATTGATTTGACTTTTACAAAAAATTTGTTGAGATAAAGAATGTAATCTTAACTGGGAGGTTCTCTTTTTGAATAATCCTAAGCTTAAGTTTTAACAGAAGAATATATATAGGCATTAGCAAAAATTTCGACTGGGCCCGTGTAGCAAAGTGGTATTGCGTTTCCCTCCTAAGGAAGAGATCGTGGGTTCTTTTCCACATTCAATTAGTGGCACCGGGCTGTGGGGGGGTGCGGGAAAAGGGAAAATCAATTGACGAGAAAATGCCAGAAAACAGATTCCACTAATTCCACTAATTGGGCCTCCACCCCTGTCATGTCAAACCACCAGAGCATGGTTCTCGCTCAACCTTCCACCACCGCTTTCTCGTCCCGCGGTCTCAGCCCACTCGTGCCGCTGGCTCGCCGTTTTGCCTCGCCCTCGTCTGGCACAACGACGCGTCCTCGCGCATACACCAGCACCGCAGCGATGGCGGCGCTCTCGCTCGTCACACGCCGAAACGGTCCGATCATCTTCCTCTCCTGCGTCTGGTCTGTCCGCACTGTCTTCCACGCTCACCCTTCGCGCGAGACCAGCACCTTCTTTGCAACAACTGAAACGAAGATGAGCGCGACACCATCCTTCTCTCAGCGATCAACTCAAGCTCTGGCAGGTGTTGAGGCAGGCTGTGCAATGGCGAATACCATCCTGAATCTGTTTCAGCACAATTAACTTCTTCCTCTTCGCCGTCGACCCCTAATCAGATCCGTCAACAAGGACAACCTCCACCACTACCTCCATCGATTGCAACCATCACGCACATTCTGCTTAAATCAAGTTTCCTCCTGTCACATTGTGCGCTCGACACACCTCACCCTCGCCCAAGTGGGTGCCGCGCATTGTCCCTGCCGCAGCCGTCCTTTGAGCCGCACCACCTACCCTCGTGTTGGTTCCCAATTGCCCAAAGATTGGTTTGCCACTGTCATTGCCAGGGCATGCAATCGATGCTTCACTGCGTCGGAAGGGGTTTGCAGCAAGACTCAAAGCATCGCACCATATCACCAGCACCATCGATGCCATTCTCCGTGTGACTCTCCGTCGCCCTCAGCGGCTTTTGGAGCGGAATTGCAATGTGAATGCTGCGGCATGATGGGGTGCAACGCTTCGAGGAAATCAAGCTGCAGAATTGCTGTCTTTGCTTTCTTCTCATTTTTAACTCCATCGCTCCGGGTTATCACAGCCTTAATGTTGCAGGAAGATTACCATTGTACGCGCTGTCATGCTCTTCTTTAGCGTGACACCGCCTGTAATGGCTTCTTCTTCGCACGCACAATTGTTTCAATTCTATTTCCTTGCTGTTTTGTTTGACTTCACCTAATTTGACAAAGGATATCCTTCTTGGTTGACGTCCCACACTCTTATCAAAAATAGAGCCTTGCTCGTTCCTTTTCCTGTTGGCACCACGCAATTGATAGTAGGACTGAATCACACCAATCGTGCTTCAATCCGACTGAAAGGTCCAGTCCCTGAAGTACCCTCTCTTGAACGAGGATTGGCAGCACCTTCTTGGTTACTTTTTTTTTGGCCGCTCGTCGAGCATTGTCCAATTGCAAACTTTTGCTAGAAGAAGCTGTATCTGCGTTTTTGTTGGACCTCTGTCGAGAAGTTGGCTGTTTCTGTGTCTGAAGCATGGGATTCGCACAAGCACTGTCAATCTCAGGTTCAATCTCTTCTACAACTGCCTCCGCATTTTTCTTTAATCGCCTTTGAGCGGTCCTCTGCTTCTGTGTCCCTGACTTTCGAGTAGCATGGGGTTTCTCATTGTCCTCGTTCTCTTCGTCCTTGACGACTTCTTCTTTCACTTCTTTGGGATCATCCAGTTCACTAAATCCAGCCACTGATGAAAGCCAGCATTTCCAGTCGTTCGAAACTTTGAGAGAGCCTATACTCCCAACAGAAATCTGCTTCGCCATTTTCGAGTACCTTTCCTTCAAAATGGACAGAATTGAAACTTCCATTTCGATCAGTTTAACAAAAATATACTGCGTCGCTCGATCATGTCTCCACTGCTGCCGTTCAAGTATATATGCGCGCGGAAGCCCTCGGCACGCGTTTGGCACTTGCAGTTCAATTTGAGCCAACACTTCTCGAATTTTCGAGATCTGCTGCAGCCGGTCAGTGGTATTTCGAAGATCGTAGACAGCCATCACTCCGTAATGCACCAATTCAAAAGAGCCTAGCTTATCAACCAATGTCGTCAACGGGCCCTCCTTTGGTGTTGACGGATTGGATTTTAAAACAGAATACCCAAGGTTCTTTGTCCCGATGTCGATACCAACAATGATTGTTGCTTTCGCCAGTTGGGGCTGAAAATCTGCGCTACCCTTCAAAGCAGCCTTAATACCTTCGAAGTACGCCGCTTTCGTGGTGCCAGAGGTTGGGGTTGCTCCAATTTTTGAAGAAATGCTCTTGAGAATTGCGTGAGTCTGATCGAGTGAAACATCTGAAGCATTTGTTTAGTATTTGTCGCATTATGAAACCACGCACACTTACAGAAGTCTGAGAACTTCGTAGGCTTAAGCTGCCGCCGTTGTTGATTTGGGACTCTCGAAGGCTTACGCTGCCACTCTTGTTGCTTTGGGGCTCTCGCTATCGTTGGTTTCATCTTCAAAACAATTCAGACAATTTTTTTTCTCTATTCCATCACAACTCATTTCTTTATTCAACAGCGACTGCATAATTTTAAGTCCCTTCAGTGCTTGGGAGTGGGCCCGACAAATCTGCACTGGTTGTGTGCTTGTGTATATCGACAATTACGTTCATGAAGTCCTCTGAAAACTCCCTTTGCTTCCCATTCGGTCGAGCTTTTTTCTGCAAGCGGTCATCTGCCTTTGCCTTCGACTTTCGCTTTGAAGACAGCTCTGTCTCCAGCAAACTTCCAGGCTTCTCTGCAGACTTTCGTTCTCGGAGTTTTCGTTTCGCATCAGGGGTATCCTGTGCTTGTGCTCGAACGTTTGAAAATTCCTTAGCAAACTGTAAAGCGTCAAATATTTTGCTGCAGTTTGGCCCAGATTGGTCCAAAATAGCTGCTGCTCGCTGAGGGGATATCGTTCGCTGAATTTGAACTTGTTGTATTTGCCTTGCAATTGTGCCAAGTTTCGAGATAAATGTTTGAACAGCGGCTGTTGTTCCAACTTCTTTTATCTTTCCACCTTCCCATCGCCAAACCTTGATCAACTCAATCCAATTTGGCTGGCTTGTAATATCGTATAGCGAGGGCGTCGCTTCAAAGTAGATTTGATAGACTGGGTAGCACTGCCGCATGGATCCAAGCGAACCCGGAAATAGGACATTTGTTAGCTGTTCATCAGACTCCATTGAAACATAAAAACTTCGCGAATGAAGTCCCCTGCATCCGTCCTGCAAAGCCCAATCTGGAAGACATTTCTGCGTGATTTGCGGCCATAAAATGGTAAGGCCATCTTGATTGTGCTTGACATCTTTGTTGCCGCTGGACTGTACAATTAAAGGTGCGGGGGCTCTCACTGTATCTTGAGTCGAAATCTGCCTATACTCATCCGCAAAATTATCGAACGGGTCACGAAGTCGGTGTCTCTCAGGGGGTGCTGGAGTGGGTGATCCTCTCAGCAACTCAGCTCCGGAGGCATTGAGATTTTGTTTAGGATTATTTAATTCCAACTGGAAGAACAGACTGTTAACCAGGAAAGAAACATTAAGGAACAGCAACTAACTTGCTCTGCTGCGTGCAGTGATGAGCCTTTGCGTGGAGTCTGGTGATCCAAGTGAGGAGTTGCTGGATGTTGAAACTGAGTTGGGGCTCTTATTGGAACAGGAGTTCTTGTGGGGGTTTTTGGACTCGACAGATGAGACAAACTGTGTCCTCGAGAAACATTCTGAGGATATCCAGCTTGAATAGCCGACTTTTCATCTCTTCTTGCTCCATTCTGATAGCTCTGAAGTTTTCAAAAGGTCTTTGGAAAAAGTCCACAAAAGATTTTTGAAGCACAGCAATGTCTTCATTTTGCTTCTGAGCAATGGCCAAGCATTTCTCGACAGCCAAAAGAGTTTGTTGGAAAGTTGAGCAAAGTGGCTCATGACTAGGAGTAAAGCAGGGTCCACCTTTTGCAAGTTTAATTACTCAAACAAAAACCTCAGATTCTCACTTTGGCACAGCCATCTGGGAATAGTCGTCCATCGGGAAGCTCAAAGATGGGGGCTGTTTCCTTTGACTTTACAAGGCCGACAAAACTTTTCCATTGAGGGTGAATGAATGGAAGGCATTTCCGGCAGTAGTGTTCCCGTGGAATGATTCCTTGTAATCCAAAGAAGCCAGAGTCTTGAAATAGTTGGTGAGGCCTCAATTATCGAACCACCACGTACCTGCAGGGCAGACCTTCGCAATAATTTCAATGCTGCGAGTGCAGTTTGTGGACTGACTTCTCTTCCACTGGTGAACACATCATCCAATTTACTTAAAACAGATTTTTCGAGTTCATCTGGTGGGACTGCGTAGATTCGAGGGACCAAATATGGCTCAGACAAATCAAATCCAGCAAACGCAACAAGAACAGGAAATTGTGGTATTTGCCCATAGTACTTCCTCTCCCCAACTGTGTTTTGGGCCCAACCAGCCATATCTGCGACAGCTTGTGGTGATGTACCACGCTTGATGGCCTGAAACGCGGAAACTTTTCGCCCAGCGTGAAGAACCACACTTGTTTCAATATCTGCTGCATTGTTGGCTTTCTTCATATTTCTATTTGCTGTTGAGTTCGCCATTGGCTTGGTTGGATCTTCCTGACTTGGGAAAAGGACCGACTGGAGTCCATTCGAACCTTCAAAATCTTTAATGTGTCTGTCACTTAATCTTGAAAGCTTACCAAGGCTAAAGTTGGGAAACTCATCTTTTGCATAATTTCTCCAGTTAAAGCGGTCTATCAAATGTATTCCAAGCGACCCAAGGGCACATCGCAGTGAATCCTTGTGGGGCAAAGCAGCAATAAATCGAGAGTGCAAAATCTTCAGCGAATGCATCAGTTTGACATCATAAACTTTCAAATTATTGGTACCTGGTCTTGCCTTTTCGTTTTCCATTCTTGAAGAAGCATTACTAATGCATTTACCGGTCCACAGGCAGGAATGAGATATTCGTATTGACCCAAGCAGTTGAAATTCGTGTTGAGGGGCTCATTCGCACGAGTGGCAGTTCCGTGGG